CTCAAAAATAAAAATTTACATTAATGTGCACCCCTAAAGATAAAAAATCTTAATTTGCACCCTTAAAGATAAAAATTTGTATTAATGTGCACCCCCAAAATTAAAAAATTTTAATTTGCTTCTTCAAAGATAAAAATTTGTATAAAAATTTGTATTAATGTGCACTTAAAATTAAATTGATAAATTATATCTAGATTTTTTTATGTTTGTTACTTAATTATTTTGATCCTTTCACATTTAAAATATTACTCTTATATTTCATGGCGTTGATCTATGTTAATATAATAGTTAAAAAATATGATTTTATCCTAATAAAAAAATTATAATTTCATATTATTTTTTATTTTATGGGTCTAATATACTCTAAAGTTTAAAATTAAGTTTACCATTTGAATGTCTAATAGATTAAAGTGTTGCACATTGAGTAATATATTGCATTGGATATAAAAAATATTATATAAATATCTGCATTCAAATAGTAAGTTTGATTTTGAATTATAGAGTATAATTATAAAATTATAATTTTTTATTAGAATAAAATTATATTTTTTAACTGTTATATTGACATATATCAACGAAAATGGGTTACGTGTTGCACGTGTACAAACGTCATGAGATGTAAGAGTAATATTCTAAATGTGAATGGGTCCAAATAATTAAGCATGAGGGGATTTAGGTATAATTTATTAATTTAGTTTTTGGTGCACATTGATACAAATATTTATCTTTGAGGGTGTAAATTGAGATTTTTTATCTTTGAGGGTGCGCATTGATATAAATTTCTATTTTTAACGGTGCAAATTGAGATTTTTGATTTTCGGGAGTTTAAATTGAGATTCGAACTATCTTTCGGGGCTTAACTTGTAAGTAATCCTTTCTGTTTTTCGTTCTTTAGACTCGTGCTTACAATGTGAAATTCGGCTCACACAGTCGTCTCCAAATCACGCTCGCCTAACATATTGTCCAACGTCTATGACCCCAGTCAAGTGTAATGTGCAACAAGGGACTATTCGTCACGTGTATTACTGGGACCAGTCAAATTGAAGCCGAGGATCAACTACACTTTACCCTTATTATTTTAGTCCGTGGGATTTTGCTTGTATAGCCTCGTGAGTAGTGTTACACTGATCAAATTTTAAGACTAAATTTAAAATTTAAATGACATGACAGTTGATTTAAATTTTTTTATTCGGTGTTTTTCATTTGGGTTCTAATAAAAATTTTAAATAATATATTATCAAGTCATTTGAATTTTAATTTAATTTCAAAATTTGATCAGTATAACATTATTGATTATTGAGGGCTCATAACATTATTGAGGGCTCGTTAAGTGGATTCAATGCAGTCCGGTCAAGGGAAGTGCGNCAATTTTTTAATCTGTGATGTGGCCTACATAATGGGACCCACCTCACATGCACTTCCAATTAACATAAAGGTAGTGGGACCCACATAAATGAAAGGGACCACACTACTGGGCACAAACTCCAAGCCTATATTTCTGTACTGTTACCCCAAAAAAATGAAAAAACAAAGAATAATTGGAATATTATTTCTCGGGGAATGCTATGTATATTAATTTTTTTTTTAAATACCTATTTTAAATAATATGACATAGTTTTTCACTATTAAATAAATAAATCTCATTAATATTTAATGATGAAAATTATGTCATATTATTTGAGACAAAGAATTTGGTAATTAGAAGATTTTTCTTAGTTCCCCTTCATGTTAGTGAATTGTATGCGTAAATTATTTCATATCAAGATTTATTGAACAAGTAACTCATTTATAATCATGTATTGCTAACTTATTGACTTGCTAAGTTCATACAATGTATAAATCGTGTTTAGTTGTAACAAATCAATCCCCAAAAAAACCCCAAATCCACCGAATACAATAGGTTACAATAGGTTTACAGGCAAAGATGTCACTTCAATAACAAGTCACTCAAACTCGTAAAAAAACACACACATTCGCACATGCAACACGATATTTACCAAAAAAAAAAAACTTTTTCCAACATTATATTATTGTTAAACAATATAATTAACTCATAAATCCGGCCAATGACTGTCCGCCAATATATTGGCACAGCAGTTCCTATTTATGTAAGGGGTGTGGTAGTTGACACCCCAAATTGTCTAGGGTTTATTAGTCCACTAACCAATCTTTTGCAAGTGCACGATTGTTTTCAACTACAACTATCATGCCAAGCTACGTCTTTGCTTGATAGGTGAC